CCCCTAGCAAGTCCACACTTCAGCCTACACCAGGTCCTCTCAAAAGATTTTTCTCACCTGAGGACTCAGAAAGGCTTTCAGCAGGGCACACAGGCTTCTAGCTCTGTCAGGAGGATTCCCTGGAGAGGAGATACTTGAACTTGGTTTTGAAGGATGAATAGGCATTCTTAGGTGAAGGACTGCATGACTTCTTCCCCTTCTGCTCTAGTGACATCTCCCACAGGGGAGGGGCATCTCCAGAACTTATACATAGGAGGTCATAAGAGGCAGCAAGCTGGTGGAAGGGTAGAAGCAGAGCCTTGTATTAAAGCTACATTTTCAAAGCAAGGGCATCATGACTATATAGACTGGACAGGGAAAATGTGGCGCATATACACCATGGAATATTATGCAGCCATCAAAAACGATGAGTTCGTGTCCTTTGTAGGGACATGGATGAACCTGGAAACCATCATTCTCAGCAAACTAACACAAGAGCAGAAAATCAAACACTGCATGTTCTCACTCATAGGCGGGTGTTGAACAATGAGAACACATGGACATAGGGCGGGGAGCACTACACACTGGGATCTGTTGGGGGTGAATAGGGGAGGGTCAGCAGGGGGTGGGGAGTTGGGGAGAGATAGCATGGGGAGAAATGTCAGATATAGGTGAAGGGGAGGAAGGCAGCAAATCACACTGCCATGTGTGTACCTATGCAACAATCTTGCATGTTCTTCACATGTACCCCAAAACCTAAAATGCAATAAAAATAATAATAATAACTTTTCCTAAAGATTTTTATTGACATACTGCTTTAGACTAAGGACATATTCAAAATTATTAGTACTGGTACACAGTCCCTTTTTAATTGGGGTAGATGGAGTGGGAGATCAGGTAGGTTGTTGGAGCATTAAAACCCCGCATCCAAGCCCCACATGCACAGTAGGAGGGAGAACCCAGCACCCTGAGTTCTCCCCTTTTCCCACCTCATGGCATATCCTAGGAAGGCTTGCACAACTCTGATTTCTCCTCCTCCTTCCCTTGTGGTATGTCCTAGGAGAAGCCTGTCATCAGCCTGACATCTCCCCGCTCCTCATCCTGTGGTATCTGCCAGGAGATAGCCGCGGCCGCCCCTGATTCTTTCCAAGAGGACCTTCAGTTTCTCTGAACGGTTATGAATGGACCCATAGACTACAGATCCAAAGACCCCTCCTCCAGTAAGCCCGCCCAGAGAAACGTCCCCACCCGTGCTTCCCGCCACCAGCGGGACAGCTCCACCTCCCTGCTCTGTGAGTTTAGAGGTGTCCTCATCCTCAATACGGAATGGACACTCCTCCAACATGGTGTACCCCATGGGGAAGCGCGACTTGGGCGCGGCCATGTTCCCCACCTGACCACGTCGCGGAGGGGCACTGAACATTCCAAAGCCTTCACTTCCGTAATTTCTCCATGTTAACTCCTGGCGAATAGCGGCTTCAAAGGTGGTTTTGCGCACGCGCAGACCCCCCTTTCCCTCACTCATGGGAAGTCCCAAACCCCGAAAAAGGGCGGTGCTAGGGGTAGTGACCGGAAGCGGCTGCGGTTCTCGCCGGTTCTCAGCCGGGGTTACATAGTTGTCAGGAGGATTCGACGTTCAGTGCCCAGGGATGTGGAGGTGATGGGGGACCGGGGTGGGTGAGTGCTAGGGGATTCTGTGTGATCAGTGATGGAATCGTTTGTCTAACTTGAGTTGGATGATTCGCTCATCATTTTTCAGGCTTTTCTCTTTTCTAATGTTACCCTTAAGGTCTTAAAGTTCATTCTAAGCCCCATTGGGTTTGGAGCATTATGTTTTTTAAGAGTGTTAACTCGTATTCATTTGTTTTTTACTGAGGAGTTATTCAAAAGTGGGGTTTCAGTGTGCAAAAGTTTATCTTTGTAATGGATCTGTAACCTTAGTTTTCTGTGTTAGAAAAACACCTACGTGGAGCTCATTCCTTGAAATACAAGGAGACTTACGGCCTAGTGCATTTTTAGAAACGTTCTGTATATAACTTGAAAATAGTATTTAGTTATTTAGTCGTCAATTGTGTCATATAAAATCTGTCTTTTTTGTCTATTTCTTCTTTTACTTCAGGAGAGAGAAATTCTCCACTGTGATGGTAATTTGTCCGTGACTCCTTACTGCTGTCTGTGATCCACTGTGAGTTACTTTTTGTATAAAGTATGAGACTTAGGTCGAGGTGCATTAACTTGCTTATGAATGTCCAGACTCAAGCACCATTTGTTGAAAAGATTATCTTTCCTCCATTGACTTGTCTTTCACCGCTGTCAAAAATAAGTTGGCCATACTTACGTGTGGGCTTTTTCTGGGTTTGTGTTTCAGTTCCATTGTCCATGTGTCTGTCTCTCTGCCAGTACTACCATGCTGTCTTGAATTGGATAGAGTGATTCCTCGCACTTTATTCTTTTTCAAAAGTGTTTTAATGCCTCTGTTTCCTTTGCCTTTCCCATATACATTTTAGAAAATCTTGTCTCTATCTACAAAGCATCTTGCTTGGATTTTGATAGGAATTACATTAAACCTGTTTACCAACTCGGGAAGAAGTTAAGTTTTAACTGTGCCAAATCTTCCAATCCATGTATATAATATGTCTCTCTGTTTATTTAAATCTTTTAAAATTTCTGTCAATGGTACATTGTAATTTTTATCATGCAAGTTCTGTACACATCTTATTTAAATTTATACCTAAGGGTTTAATTTTTTTGGAGTGGTCGTAAATGGTATTATCTTTTAAATTGCTGCTTATATATAGGAATACAATTGAGTTTTGTCTGTTGGTCTTGTATCCTACAGTCTTGCTAAGCTCAGTTATTAGGTTTTACACCTTTTTTGATAGATTCCTTTGGTTTTCTCCATGAGCAATTGTGTCATATACAAACAGGGATAGTTTTATTTCTTTCTTTCCAATCTCTATACCTCTGCCTTTCTTCCTTTATTACACTGGCAAGAAGTTCCAGTACTATGTTGAATAAGAGTGGTGAAAGTGGACATCTTTGCATTGTTTTCAGTCTTAGGGGGAACATATTCAGCCTTTTACCATTAAGTATAATTTTAGCTGTAGGGCTTTCTTTTTTTGGACCCTCTTTTTTATTTGAGGAAGTTCCCCTCTATTCCTAATTTGCCAGTAGTTTTTATCATGAATGGGTGTTGAATTTCATCAACATCATATGAATCTTTATGATCTTGTGATATTTTTTCTTTTTTAGCTTGCCAGTATGGAGGGTTACACTGATTGATTTTTGAATATTGAACTAGCCTTACATTCCTGAAATAAACCCTACTTGGTTGTAATATATAATTCTTCGGATATATTGCAGGAATTGATTAGCTAATGCTTTTTTTTTTTTTTTTTTTTNCATTTTTGCATCTAAGTTCATGGGAAATATTAGTCTATAGTTTTCTTTTTTATATTATCTTCATCTGGTTTTATTTTGTATTTTTTGAGGCAGAATCTCACTCTGTTGCTCAGGCTGGAGTGCAATGGTGTGATCACAGCTCACTGTCAGGCTCAAGTGATCCTTACACCTCAGCCTCCTGAGTAGCTGGGACTGCAGGCACACACCACTACACCCAGCTAATTTTATTATTTTTTGTAAACAGGGTCACACTATGTTGCCCAGGCTGGTCTCAATCTCTTGGGCCCAAGCAATCCTCCTGCCTCAGCCTCCCAAAGTGCTGAGATTACAGGTGTTAGCCACTGCTCTTGGCCTTGTTTGGCTTTAGTTTTAGGGTAATACTGGCCTCACTGGATGAGTTGGGGACTATTTTCTCCTCTTCTACTTTTTTTTTTTTTTTTTGAGACGGAGTCTCGCTCTGTCACCAGGCTGGAGTGTGGTGGTGCAGTCTCAGCTCACTGCAACCTCTCCTCCCAGGCTCAAGTGATTCTCCTGTTTCAGCCTCCCGAGTAGCTGGGACTACAGGTGCACACCACCACGCCCAGCTAATTTTTGTATTTTTAGTATAGACGGGGTTTTACCATGTTGGCCAGTATGGTCTCTATCTCTTGACCTCGTGATCCACCCTACTTGACCTCCCAAAGTGCTGGGATTACAGGCGTGAGACACTGTACCTGGCCTTCTCTTCTGTTTTCTGGAAGAGATTGTATAGAATAAGTACTGATTTTTATTTAAATGCTTAAATGTTTGGTAGACTTCTCTATTGAAGCCATCTGGGCCTGAAAACTTTCGTTTGGAAGCTTTTTGATCATGGCTTCAATATCTGTAATAGTTATGTAACTATTCAGATGATTATTTAATACCATTTTAGACTCATATATATATTATATATATTTAGACTAGTAATTTTATTTAGTTATAATAGTAATAAAATTTATTATTTAGTAATAATAGTAATAAAATTTATTATTTAGTAATAATACTTAGCAATAAAATTATTTAGTAATAATATTCTATTGTATATACGGCAAATTTTGTTTATCCATCAGTTAATGGACATATGGATTATTTCCACTTTTTGGCTATTATGAATAATGCTGGTGTGAATATTTGTGTATAAGTTTTGGAATGGACATATGTTTTCATTTCTCTTGCATAGACATGGTCTCCTAATCAAATGGAAGATTTGGGTTTTGATTTGTATTTTCCTAATGACTAATGTTGATGATAATTATGTTATTTCTAATCTACACACACACACACGTGCGTGCGCACGCGCGTGCGCACACTCTCTCTCTCTCTCTCCCTCCCTCCCTCTCTCATATATGCACACATACTTGACTCCTTTATCTGATTTGCTAGAGAGTTTTTTATGACATTGGTCATTTCCATTTATTTATTTATTTTTGAGACAGGATCTCACTCTGTCATCCAGGCTGGAGTGCAGTGGTACAATTATGGCTCGCTGCAGCCTCAACTTCCCAGGCTCAAGCAATCCTCCCACCTCAGTCCTCCTGAGTAGCTGGTACTACAGGTACACACAACCATGCCTAATTTTTGTATTTTTTGTAGAGATGAGGTTTCACTGTGTTACCCAGGTTGGACTCAAACTCCTGGGCTAAAGTGATCCTCTCACCTTGGCCTCCCAATGTGCTGAGATTATAGGTATGAGCCATTGTGGCTAGCTACATTGATCATTTCAAATGACCAGCTCTTTTTTCTTTAAGCGTCCTATTATATTTATTTGATTTAGCAAAGGTTTTATTTTTATTAATTACTTCCTGGTTTTAGTTTTTGTTTTGCTTAATTTTGTTTTTTTTTACTTCTAATGTTTTTGGTTGAAGACATAGCTCATTTTGGGATTGTATTTATTTTTAATTAAGATCAAAGCTGTTTAAAACAGTAAATTTCACTCTAAATAATGCTGTACTTCATAACTTCTGGTAAATTTGTATTGATTTCCCAGTTGGATCCTGGGTTATTTAGGAAAAAGTTTCTTTTCTTCCCCTTTTTAAAAATAAGATTTATTTAGGTTTATTCCAATACCATAAAATTCACCCACTTAAAGTATGCAGCTCGGTGGTTTTTAGTATATTAACAGAATTGTGCAGCCATCACCATAATCTAACTTTAGAACCTTTTCAACACCCCCAAAAGAAATGCTGTCCTCATTAGCAGACGTTCACCATTCATGCCACCTCATACCCCCAGTCCTAGGCAACCACTGTTTTATTTCTGTCTCTGTGGATTTGCCTATTCTGGATATTTCACATGAATGGATACAAAATATGTGGTCTTTTGTGACTGGCTTCTTTCACTTAGAGTAGCATTTTCAAGGTTCATCCATGTTGTAGTAGGTATCAGTACTTCTTTTGTATTACCAAATGTTGTAATATTCCATTGGTGTGTGTGTGTGTATATATATATGCCAAATTTTGTTTATCCATTCATCAGTTGACATTAAACATTTGGATTGTTTCTCCTTTTTGGCTGCTATGAATAATGCTGCTGTGAATATTTGTGTGCAAGTTTTGGAATGGACATGGGTTTTTTTATTTCTCTTGCAGAGACACCTATGAGAGATATTTCTGTGTTTTATGGTGACTCTATGGTTGATATTTTGAGAAACTGACAAATTATTTTTCAGAGTGAGTGCACCATTTTACAATCCAAACAGCAATGTATGAGAGCTCCAATTTCTTCATATCTCACCAACACTTGTTATTGTCTTTTCTTCTTCTTAGGCATTTTAGTGGATGTGAGATGGTCTCCTAACTCATGAAAGATTATGGTTTTGATTTGCATTTTCCTAATGACTGATGTTGTTGAACATTTTATGTTAATGATCAGAGAATGTAAGCCTGTCAATTCCCAACATTAAAACATTTATCAGATTTTTTGGTAGCCAAGTTATTTGAAAGAATTTGTAGAAGTTCCATGACTATAAGAGAAGAAAGCATATTTTCTCTCTTGCTTTGATATAACATCCTTTTAGTGTTTTTAAAATTTAACTTGCTCATGCCTTTTATTTTACTCTTTATTTATTTTACTTTATTTTTTCCTCTTCATCTCATTCTTACTTCTTAAGTTCCTCTTCTTTTTAAGTAGATATTTTCCCTTTCCTAACAAGAATGACTAAATCTGCAGTGCCTCTAATAATTGATCAGAATAAAATTGTACTTCAACTTAGACACAGAGACACTCTGTCTTCTCTAGCTAGTTCCCTCAGTGGGGAAACAGTTTTACCTCTGGATATTTTTGAGTTAATTAAAAAACTTTAGTCCCAGGCTGTTACTATTTCCCCTGTAGCATGTCTCTTCTGTTTCAAGAAATTTTACTTAACTTTTTTATTCTGAATTTAGGGTCATATTTTCACTGTCTGTCAAACAGAACCACATTTATTTTGAGCCTACCATGGAAAAGGTATCATATGATACAGCTTTGACAACGTGAACTTTGGAGCCAGGTAGACTGCGTTTGACTTAACACCACTAAACCTCTAATTCTGTATGCATAAAATGGAATAATAATGATTATGACAACACATAGAAGAAAGGATTGTTGTGTAAATTACCTGTTTCTGCACATTACATGGTTCCTTATAACAACAATACTTGCTATCATGTATTAAGTATTTACCTGGGGCCAGTTCAGTGCTAAGTGTCATTGAAACATAATCTCATCTAATTTTCACCTCCACTTGAGATAAATATTTCAAATTCATTTTGAAAAATAAGCCTCAAGAAGCTTTTTCATGTTCTCCTAGCTAAAATTTGGCAGAGCTGAAATTTAAACCTTTATTAATTTTAGTCCAAATCTCATGGTCTTGCTCATATTCTAATTAATAACCAGAATATGTGTTTCCTGGACCTGATCTACCCCACAGTGCCCAGTGCAGTGAACTGTACTTTGGTTCCCCCAGGGAACCAAATGTTCTGTGTGGTGAGTGCTACCTGCCTCTGATCATATGGACACTGTTTTTCCAGGGTTCTTGGAGTCTCTGCAGAGTCCCTGGGCCAGATCTCATAGTGAAGGTTGCAGTATCTTCCTTCTGATCCCAGCAGTTCCCGTTGAGTCCACTGATCCCACTGGAATTCTAGAGTTGTCTGCAAGAAAGCCCGGGGGCTGAAGTCCAAGTCCGTCGGGAACATGCCAGCTAACGAGGACACTCCCCAGCCAGGGGGACATGGCAGTGCCTGTGAGGTGAGGAGGAGGAAGAGGTGCCCAGGGGTTGGAATTCATCCAGAGTCCTGTAGGAAAGATACGATCTCATAGTTTTCATTTGTAGTACTTTTTTACCAGGCAGGCATATTTCCTCCCGTCCCCATTATTATTGGTCATTTATTTCCATTTTGTAAATTTCCTTCTCCTGTCCATTGCTGATTTATTTACCTTAGCTTGTGGATTTTAAAAGAGGTTCTTGAAAATATTCAGCTTAATAGCCCGTTATCATTCTTGCATATTTTTATGAATATCTGTTGCCCTTTCATAATTTGGAATTAGCTCTTAGTTTCATTTGCAAGTGGTAAAAGGTATCAAGTAGTTCTCTCTCTCTTTTTTTAAATCTCTTCCATGCTTTGTTTTCCCCAGATTCCAGCCTCCCAGAAGCAAACACCCTTACTCTTTTTAATAGTTTTAAAGAATGTTTTGGGTTTTACCTATTGGCTTTCCACTATGGAAGACAGAGATTGAGCTTTCCTTTACACCCCCACTCACATACACATTTCCTAACCCACCTTGCTAAGATAGGTATATCATTGTTTCGGTGAGATTCATGGTCAGTGTTGATCATTGAATCCCATGGTATCCACGCTGTGATGACTATTTCTGCACAACTTTTTTCTTTTCCCTGGAATTAACAATTTTCTGTCGCAGTCATTTGTTTGTGTTACTATATACGTATCAATCATTCAACTCCAAATTCTTCCCTGGTGTTTAGATATCTTTTCTATATGTTCAAACACATTAGGTGATAATCACAGTGATAATAATTAAAAGCAGCCACACAACGTTTACTGCATGCCAAGCACTGTTAGACGAACTCTACATGTGTCCACTCATCTTCACAACAACCTCATGAAGTAGGTGCCATTACTATTACTGTTTCTAGGCACAGGGTCTCACTCTGTTGCCCAGACTGAAGTGCAGTGGCACCATCATAGCTCACTGCAACCTCAAACTCCTGGGCTCAAGTGATCCTCCTATGTCAGCCTCCCAAGTAGCTGGGACTACAGGTCCAAGCCACTGTGCCTGGCTAGTAGGTGCCATTATTATTATTATTATTTGAGATGGAGTTTTCTTCTTGTTACCCAACTGGAGTGCAATGGCACGATCTCGGCTCACTGTAACCTCTACCTCCCAAGTTCAACCGATTCTCCTACCTCAGCCTCCTCAGCAGCTAGGATTACAGGAATGTGCTACCATGCCTGGCTAATTTTTGTACATTTAGTAGAGATGGGGTTTCACCATGTTGGCCAGGCTGGTCTCAAACTGCTGACCTCAGGTGATCCACCCATCTCTGCCTCCCAAAGTGCTGGGATTACAGGCGTGAGCCACCGCATCTGGCCTTAGGTGCCGTTATTATCACCATTTCATAGAAGGGAAAACTGAGGCTTAGAGAAAAACCGTTTGGCCCAGTTTTACACAGTAAATAGCCAGTAATAGGTGGGGCTGCTCTCATTTCTGGGCATCATTGTCTTCTCTTTGAAGAAATCTCTTCTGGAGCTTGACTTGCTAAAGTCTAGGCTGGTGGCTTCCTCAGTTTGACACAGAGCTGTTACTTTGGTGTCTTTCCTTCACCATCTCCCAGGAAATCCCCTTGACTTTTCTCTTGGGTCAGATCTCCTATTTCCTGGAGCTTGTGTCTTCCTCTTTCTTGGCATACCCCTTCATTTTGTGGGGAGCACATCCTCCAGGATATCCTTCAAAATGGATGCATGACAGATACATTTTATGAAACTTTGCGTGTCTGAAAATGTCATGCAGAAATGTATTTACTGAATACATATAACTGTATAAATATATGTGTAGAAATGTAAACATGAATGCCATGGAAAATACCTATTTCACTCTGACACTAAATTTGTCTTTTTAGCTGAGAATAGAATTCTAGATTAGAAATCATTTTTATGCCCAATTTGGAAACCTGTTTCCAAGTTCTTCCTAGGCCTTTTCTACTCACATGTACATTTTCTCTGCTTTTCAAAAACTCTTCTTATTTGGTTGTTGATGCTCCTTTGTAAAAATTATTTTCTTTACTGATTTCCATTTCTGTCTCTTTTGCTCTCTCTTCTAGTAGTACTTTTTAAAAAACTTTATCTTCTAAATCTTATTTTATATCTCTCATTAATGCTGGTTTTTTTTTAAGTAGCTCTTTTTGTCTTCAGAATATTCCTGTGCTATTTTTGTTTTATGGATGCAGCATCATCGTATCATTCTAAAGATATTAGTAGTTTTTATTAAACTTAATTTTTTTGAATAAAGCATAGAAGAATGGCTCAAAAAATTAAAGACATATAAAAAGCTATACAGGTTGAGTATCTCTAATCCAAAAATCCAAAATCCGAAATGCTCCAAAATCTAAAGCTTTTTGAGCACTGACATGACATTCAAAGAAAATGCTCATTTGAATTTTGGATTTTCAGATTAGGGATGCCCAGCTTAAGAATAATGCAGATATTCTAAAATCTGGAAAAAAAAAAATCCCAAACACTTCTAATCCCAAGCATTTCAGATAAGGGGTACTCAGGCTCTATGGTCTAAATTCTCTTACCCATCTTTCTCCTGTCTGCTCAGCTCTCTCTAATACACATAACCAGGTTAATTACTTTTTCTCTGTATGATTAGGATTTCTTTATGCAAATAACAGCAGCTGAGAACACGTTCTTATTTTCTCCTTTTTATGTCCCAGAAGGTAGCCTACTAAAGAAATTTTTATCAATTTTTGTTGATTTAAAATATTTCAGTGAACTATAATACGAATTATAAGCAATGCTGCTAGGAACGTTCTTCATGTCTCCTCATGCACGTGTGTACATCCTCTCTTAAGTATATGTGGGGGGGTGAAGTTTTTTTTTTCGAGATGGATTTCTTGCTCTGTCACCAGGCTGGAGTGCAATGGCACAATCTTGGCTCACTACAACCTCTGCCTCCTGGGTTCAACTGATTCTCCTGCCTCAGCCTTCTGAGTAGCTGGGACTACAGGCGCCCGCCACCACGCCTGGCTAATTTTTGTATTTTTAGTAGAGACAGGATTTCAGCATGTTGGCTAGGCTGGTCTCGAACTCCAGATCTTGTGATCCACCCACCTTGACTTCCCAAAGTGTTGGGATTACAGGTGTGAGCCATTGCACCCAGCCAAGGGAGGTGAAGTTAATGGGTCGTAGTTATGTCTTTTAAAAACTTTTTTATTGAGAAATGTAACATACATACAGGAAAGCATACAAAACAGACATGCATGGCTGAGTGAGTTATCCTTCCATAGGCCTAGAAAGAGTCCATAGTTAGCATTCCACAATCCCTCTATTCCCAGAGCTACTACCCTGACTTTTATGATAATCACTTCTTTAAGAAGAAAATCGCAGCCAGGCACGGTGGCTCACACCTGTAATCCCAGCACTTTGGGAGGCTGAGGCAGGTGGATCACCTTAGGTCAGTCAGGAGTTCGAGACCAGCCTGAACAACATGGTGAAACCCTGTCTCTACTAAAAATACAAAAATTAGCCAGGCATGGTGGCAGGCACCTGTAATCCCAGCTACTTGGGAGGCTAAGGCAGGAGAATTGCTTGAACCTGGGAGGCGGAGGTTGCAGTGAGCCTAGATCATGCCACTGCACTCCAGTCTGGGTGACAAGAGCAAGACTCCATCTCAAAAAAATAAAAAAAGAAAATTGCAATCCACAGAGTGGAAGAAGGTATACACAACAGAGAACTTATGCCTAGAACATATAAAGAACAAGAAAAAGCAGAATATCCAGTAGTCAGAAGCCTTCTTGAACAGATACGTAACAGATCGAGATATTCAGATGGCTAATAGACACATGAGACAGTGTGCAATCTCATTATTCATCAGGGAAATGCAAATTTAAAGCACAGCGTAATACAACTACCCCTCACCACTGCCACCAGAATGGCTATGATTTAGAACACTGACAATGACAAGTGTTAGTGAGGAGGAGGAAGAGCACTGCTGATGAGAATGTAAATCAGTACAATCTCTGGAGGACATTTTAGCCTTATTCAGCCATACATATGTAGGCCATATGAGGAAACAGTTCTCCTAGAAAAACACCCAGCAGAAATCCTTGGCTGATGTACCAGGACACATGTATAAATGCTCACTGTAGCATTACTTGTAACAGCCATAAACTGGAAATAATGCAAATGTCCCTCAATAATAGAGTGGGGCCTGGTATGGCAGCTCATACTGGTAATCCCAACACTTTGAGAGGCTGAGGCAGGAAGATCGTTAGAGGCCAGGAGTTTGAGACCAGCCTGGGCAACATAGTGAGACCCCCATCTCTACAAAAAAAATTAAAATTAAAAAAACAGAATGGATAAATACATTGAACATAATATTGAGTGAAAGATAGCAGACACCAAAGAATTTGTTGTGTTTATTTCAATTTATATGAAGTTTTAAGACAGGAAAAGCAAGAGCATATAGTATAGGGGGTACATTTGTAGGTGATAAAACTTGAAGGCAAAGCGAGGACGTGCTTACCATCTGAGGCAGAATAGTGATTTCCTTGACCAGGGGCATTGCAGGGAGGGAGCGAAAGAGGCATGAGAAAGGCTTCCAGCAAAGGAGGTGGCCAAGTTCTGTTGGTAATTAGGTTGGTATTTGCTTTGAATGATTAGTTGAGTATTTGTTTCATATGTTTTTCTACATGAATATTATATTTAATAATAATAATCTTTTGAAAAGAAAAAAATGTACCCTCCAATTCTGACCCGAGTAGCCCATATATTCTTTCCTAAGGCAGCTACAGATAGTCTGTCCATACAAACACGTGCACTCAGGCACAGGCACACACATGTGTGCACACACATACACACACACACACCCCAACACCCCTATATCCATTTTTAAACTGAAATATTAGCATACAAAATTTCTAGCACTTGCTTTTCTCCCTTAACAATAAAGCTTGGTGATTATTCAGTGTCACTACATGTAATGAGTTACCTCATTCATTTACAAGG